GTTGAGAATTTTTACATATATGTTCATTACAGAGATTGGGCTAATGCTAGCTTCCAGGAATGAGTTTGGAACTCCTTTTTCTCTTTCAATTTCGTGGAAGAGTTTGAGGAGTATTAGTGTTATAGCTTCCTGGAAGGTCTTGGTAGAATTAGGTGGTGAATCCAGCAGGTCCTGGGCTTTTCTTAGTTTGTAGGATTTTTATTATTACGTCAATTTCGTTTTCTGTTAGAGGATTACTCAGCATTTTTACATCTTCCTGGGTCAGTTGCTAATTCATGTAAATCTAGGAATTTTTCCACTTCTATAAGATACTCCATTTTGTTGGAAGGCAGTTTTTCATACTGATTGCTAATGATCCTCTAGATTTTTATTCCCAAAGTAAACTTCAAACTAAAACAGATCAGAAGAGGAAAAAAGGAAGAATTCAACAGGAAGCGATAATAATTTTGAGTATGTATGCATGAGATACTGGGGCTCCTAACTTCATAAAAAAACACTGCTAATATAAAAGATAAGATAAACACCATCACAGTCGTAGTGGTGGACCTCAGCACCCCACTTTCACAGAGGCACAGACCAAATAAACAAAAAATTGGCAAAGAAACACTGGGGCTGAACCACACCTTCAAACAGATGGACTTAATAGGCATCTATAGAGTGTTGTATCCTACTACAGAGAGCACAGTGACATTCTTCTCAGAAGCACATGGAACTTTCTCCAAAATAGACCATATTCTAGTCCATGAAACCTGCTTAAATAAATACAAAAAAACAGAAATGATTCCATGAATCCGTCAGGTCATATTCATAGTGCACTGAAACCAGAAACCCATGGCCAAAGAAACCGCAGAAATTCCACTGGCTACCTGACATAAAACAACTCACTCTTGAGCACTCTAGGGTCACAGAAGAAAGCAAGGAAGGATTGAAACAATTCCTAGAATCAAACAGTGATGCGAACACAGCATACCAGAGCCTATGGGACGCAACGAAAGCGCTCCTGAAGCAGAGGATTGCTGTGAAAGCTTACATCAGGAAAACAGAGTGCGCTCAAGCAAACAAGCTAATGATGTGCCTGAGAAACCAGAACAAAACAGTCCTAAGTCAAACCTGGCACAGGGAAGGAAACCATAAAGATCAGCGCAGAAGTTAATGAAATTGAAACCAAAAACAAACAACCAAAACAATGCAATCCTCCCCCAAAACAGAGTCAATGAATCAAAGAGCTAGTTCTTTGAAAGAATAAAAAAACACGCAAACCTTTAGCCAAAATTACCAAAAGAAGAAAAAACACACACCAGTGCAATTTAGAACTGACAAAGCCCAAAATGCTTTTAGGAAATCTGTGAGCAAAAATGTTTGAAGATCGCAACTCTATACCCTTTCTGTGCTTTATAATTAAAAGGCTTTTCCCAAAAAAGTTAGTGAAGCTTGTGCTCCATAAGATACCTTTGCGACTCACCCTGTGAACTTCAGCCTTTCCGGATGGCAGCAGTGGACCAGAGGCTGAGCGACTTACAATCTTCTTTGAATTTGGAACCCTCCTGCCTCAGCCTCCCACAGTTCGAGGTTTGCAGGCATGTGCCATAATGCACAGCTATGTTTTCTTTATACTTCAGATTTTACATACTTTTTAAATGCTATTTACACTCAGTACTATTGATATTATGGTAGTATCAGACTTACCTTTAGGTTGTATTAATGTTTTAGTAAACAAACATATGCATGAACATATTAAAAATTGATTATATTTTATTACACATTTTCCTATTCCTATTTACTTTGTATGTTTAAAGTATTGCTTTGAGAATTGGGTCGCAGGCTTTGATGATAGCACAAAAGATGTTGAGCCTTTGTTCTAGTTTATTAAAAGTACTTTGTGAATGTATTAATAAGTAATACACAGTATTAGCTGTTCTAAATGCTCACACGAATCACATCATACATAGTGGTTTATACCTTGCTCTTTCCATATTGACATAGAAAAGTTCAGTGTGCTTATGTCTAGAGTTGCACAGTATGAATTTGCCCATCTGTGTATCAATTCCTGTAACAACGGATGCTAAAGTTTCCAGTCTTTCCAGTAATAAAAATGTGCAACAAATGTCCGGGCTCTGCCCTTTGGTCACACTGTGCGAGAACTTCAGATCCGTCGGTATCTCTTAGCTTTATTTTAATTGTATTTATTTATTTACCTATTATTTATGTGCCGTACCGGGGTTAAACCTCGGACCTCTTTATTAAGCTACATCATCATTAAAAAATAAAAAAAATTTAATTTTTAAATTTTGAGACAGGGTCTCCTGAGGTTGTCACATCGCCTGGGCTGCACCCTGGCTTACATCCCACCTGTCTCAGCCTTCCAGACTGCTGGGTTTAGAAGCCTGCGCCCCAAACCTGGCTTCACTTTTATTTTTTGGAATAGAACTGAATTTTTGGCTTTTTATCACAACTTTATTAGAATTTTAAGTATTAAGATTTTTCTTTTTTTAGTTTCTTGTTTGATAGACGGAGTACTTTTCTCTCCCAAGACATTTTTCTCCCCAGTGTCTCCCTAAACTGCTCAAACTGACCTTGAACTTTTGATCCTCTCGTCTCAATTTCCTTTAGCATAGGTGTGACCACTGCAGCTGAGCAAATAATTCACTCATTTTCTGTCGCTTTCTCTTTTGGTTTCATGCTATTTCATGTGACCTGACTGAAGAACAGTCTGACAGTCCGGGAAGTGGCTAAGACAGTTGTACAAATTGTCTTTACACAGTGTTGGATTGAGTTTGGTATTTTTGGAGCAGTTTAGCACCTGTAGTTATCAGAGCCTTCCCCCATAAGTCTGTCTGGATTTGGCATGTCAGGGTGGTGCTGGGTTTGCAGAATGAGTTAGGAAATGTTCCTTCTGGGTTTATAATCCCAAAGAGGCTGTTGGGGACTGAAATAACTTCCTTACTGTTTGGTGGAGTATACGTGAACTTTCTGTTTGGAAAAGTTATTACTTGATTTAGTTTCTTTAATGTATTTAAGACTACTCTGAGTATTATTTTTATCTGTGTGAGTTTGGAAGATTTTGTCTTTAAATAATTGGTTCACTTCATCCTGGCTATCAAATCTATGGAGTTGTTCATAATATTCTTTTATTATTCTTTTAATGCCTACAAGATATATAGGGATGACCCCTCTTTCTTTTCTGGTAATAACTCATGTCCACTTTTTTTCTTTTGGCCAGAGGCTTATTTTGTAGCCTTTTAATTTTTTAAATTATAGTATATTACAAAACCGGCTTCAGCCAAGCTTGATGGTGCCCGCCTGTAATCCCGGAACTCCAGGAGGCTGAGCAGGAGGATTCCAAGTTCAAACCCAGCCTGAGCAACTTTTTTCCTGTACTGATTTGCTCCCCGCTCCTCCAGTTCCACTCATTTCTGCTTTGACTTTTACTTATTTTCTTTAGATACTTTAGATTTAATTTGCTCTTTTTCTAGGTTCAGAAGCTGGAAACATTGATTTCTAGCTATTTTAAAAATATATAGTATTCAGTGCTTTGAGATTTGTGCTTCCCACAAATTTCAATGCATTGGCTTTCATTTTGATTTACTTCAAAGTATTTAAAACTCTCTTTTGAGATTTCTTCATTGATCATGGATTACAAGTGTTTTTTACTTACTATCTTTTTGAGACAGGGTCTCACTATGTAGTCCAGGCTAGCCCTGAACTTACTATACAGCCCTGGTTGACCTCAGGTGTGTGCTGTTCCTCCTGCCTCAGCCTCTGGAGTGCTGGAATTGTAGGTGTGAGACCACCAAGCCTGGCATAAGTGGTTTTTTTTTTTCCATTTATTTTATTTTCCATTTATTTTAGAATTTCTCAGATATTTTTCTGCTACTGATTTTTAGTTTAATTCCTTTGTGGTCTAAGAACAGACAGGGAATTTTTTCTGTTCTATTAAATTTTAAAGGGGCTTTTATGGCCATGCATGTGCCATATCCTAGTGAGTATCCCATGTGAAGGTCTGTATTCTTTGGAGGACAGACAGAGCGGTGGAGTCCATTACGTCCAGGGGACAGAGGGTGCTGTTTACTCAGTTTTGTCCTTAGTGTCTTTACCAGTTGTGTCCGTTCCACATGGAGAGGTGAAGTGCATTGGCTTTGCCTTTTTCTTGCAGCTCTGTGCATTTTGCCTCGTGGAGTGTGATGCCTTTCCAAATGTGCTATGTTAGGAATTGATTTATCTTGGGGACCTGAACCTTTAGTATATTATACTCCTTATCCTTGATAATATTCTTCTTGGCAAAGTCTTCTGTCTGGAAGTTAATTTAGTGACTTATGCTTTCTTTGGTTAGTGCTGACATAGTACAGTTTTCCAATGTTTATCCCTCCTCCCCGTGCTGGGGATCGGACCCAGGGATTCAGGCATCTTAGGTGAGCATGCCGCCACTGAGCTGCACACCCAGCTGTGCACATTTTCCTTTATGTGACACTAAATATGAAGTGGGTTTCTGATGGACCGCACATAATCAGGTCTTATTTGTGACCTGCCCTGACAAGTCTGCCTTCTGACTTGTGCATTAGACTTGATGTTCAAAGTGATTACTGATGTACTTGTAATAATACTGACTATATTTGCTGTTTTTGTCTCTTTGTCTTTATTCCTGTTTTTACCTTCCACTTTTTTCACCTTTTGTGGTTTTAAGCATTTGATTACATTTTACTTCTTTTCTGTGCTTATCAATTACATTTAAGAAACTTTGAAGTGACTTGCCTAAAGTTTGGAAATACATACTTGTAAGTATAAATGTGTAGGTTGCAAACCTTCTTGCAAATAGCATTATATCATTTTGCATGTTGTATGTGAGCTTTATAGTCTTAATTCCTTCCTCTTGTCATTTACTGACTTAGATGTAAGAATATAATAAGAATATTTAATCAAGCCGTGTGTGGTGGTGCACTTGAGAAATCCCAGCACTTGGGAGGCTGAAGCAGGCTGATCATTGCAAGTTCGAGACCAGCCTGGGCTACAAAGTGAGCCCAAGACCAGCCTGAAACACATAGCGAGACCCTGTCTCACAAAGACAAAAAACAAACAAACAAACAAACAAAAAACAGACCAAAAAACAAAACCCACACAAAAACTAAAACAAAACAAAATAAAAATATACACACACAACCCCCACCAAAACAACAAAAACCAAAAAAACCCCAAAAAGAGTATTTAATCTATCTATTTCAGTTTTGATTAGAATTATCTGTGATATTAATGATCAGAAAAATAGTTTTATTTGGAGAGGTCCCAGGACGCTGAGGCAAACGCTTTCCCTGTGAGCAACCAGCTGGGAGTGCAAGGCCAAGGACACTCGGAGGAATTCAGTTAAGAAGATGGCATCTTTTACTCCTAAGAAGAGGAAGCAGGATTCTCTGGACAGTGACAGCCTATTAGACATTTGATCAAAGAAATTAATTTTGGACATTGCTGAAGATTTGTTGCCATCATCTAATAAAATGCATACTTGTAAAAGCAGTGAGATAAATGAAGAAAATGTGTCTTGCACTCAACAAAGCCATTTCACTTCAAGTCCACTCAGAACAGCTAATAAAAATAGATTGCCACTTGCAGATCACAGCTCACCATTTAAATCTGCTGTGTCCACTGTGTCTTTTTACAATAAGCCTAAGTGGTACCTCAATCCGCTGGAGAGAAAGTTGGTAAGACAGAGTAGACCCATTTCTCTACAAACTAGTAACGAAGGTAAATCTGTTCCCATCGTCGCAGCACAAATGCAAGGAAAACCAGTCTGCACCAAGAAAAGGAACAAAAAGCCACAGAAAAGTTTAACTACTAAGTATCAACCAAGTCATAAACGCATCAAGTCTGTACTGAAAAACTCTAAAAATTCCAAAAAAAATGAAATGACCTACAAGCCAGCTATGGAGAAAGAGAATGCTTGTTACTCAACTGAAAGTAATCTGAATACTCCTCGAGTTTTAAGTCAAAAAATAAAACCACAAACTACACTCCAAAGTGGAGCAGCATTTTTTATTAGTCGAAAAAACCTCAGAAGATTGTCTCTGGAAAATAAGCCATGAGTAGGTCTCAACCAAAAGGATAAATCAAAAGTGATTGAAGATTGTGACACAAAGGCTGTAGGTAAAAGACGAACTTTGGTGAAAGAGCAAGTGCCCAAGTGCTTGTTACTAGAAAAGAAATTGAATATTAAGCTGAGTGCAAAAAGTAAAAATGAAGAGAAATTAATAAAGGACTCATCAATTGCAGTAGTTTCTTCAAAGGAATGTTCACTTAATAAAACTAAGGATTTACCTTCAGATGATTCTGTTGGTGAGAACAAAATTTCTCCTGAGCCCCTTGTCTATCCTATTCTCAGTGCATCTTCAGGCAATACAAAAAGATCTCCAGCTGAAGAAGAGTCTTCTGTGGGACTTACCACATGTATGAACTTCTCGAAACAGACCAGTACACAGAAAACTGTGAATGCCAGAGATGCAAACAAAGAAACGAAAGACCAGCTCCTCATTGATGCAGGTCAGCAATATTTTGGGGCTACTATGTGTAAGTCTTGTGGCATGATCTACAGTGCTTCTAATCCGGAAGATGAAATACAACATATCCAGTATCATCACCGATTTCTGGAGGGAATCAAATATACAAGTTGGAAAAGAGAACGCGTAGTGGCGGAGTTTTGGGATGGAAAGATTCTGTTAGTGCTGCCACGTGATCCCAGTTACGCTACCAGAAAGGTAACAGATGTCCAAGAACTTGTTGATTATGAATTGGGCTTCCAGCAAGTTGTTCCCAGATGTCCAGAAAAAGCCAAAACTTTGCTCTTTGTTTCTGGTGATAGGAGAGGGGTTGGGTGTTTAACTGCAGAGCCTATCAAGCAGGCCTTCCGTGTCCTGTCTGAGCCGACTGGCCCAGAAGCCTCAGGCTCTAAGGAACGTTCTAGAGGCTGCCAATGTTCAAATGTGCCAGAACCTGCTGTCTGTGGGATAAGCAGAATCTGGGTTTTCAAACTGAAGAGAAGAAAGCGCATCGCAAGACGACTTGTGGATACTCTCAGGAATTGTTTCATGTTTGGCTGTTTCCTCAGCACAAATGAAACAGCATTTTCTGACCCGACACCAGATGGCAAGTAATTAAAAACCAAGTACCGCAACACCCCTAATTTCCTTGTGTATAATTTTAATAGTTAAAACCAGTTTCAACTCTGAAACAGTTACCCTGTGGATAAGTTCAGATATACTGAACAGATACTTATGCAGAATAAACAAATTAATATCAAAGATAAATACTGAGACACACCCCTCCCCATAGTTATGCTCTTTATGATCTGTAAAGTCAAGGAAATATTGAAAGGGAAAAATCTTCTGACAGTACACTGACCAGCACTCTTTGAGTCTGTAATTATGGAACATGATACCTGTAGCTGGAAAATTTCCAAGGACAAAGCAACCTGGTTTCTGCAGAAGTGTTACCACTTACCTTTTATAAAGCAGCATAGACCAGGATTCTCTTGTGTCATGAGACGCAGAGAAACAAACCTAAACCCAGGCAAATAATGTCTGCCCAGTTTTAAAAGATAATTTCTGAATTCTCTATACAGGGTTCTCACTTTACATGAGATATCAATAGTAGTTCTCAGTTCAGGGTCTTTAGACTTGAATTTCTAATTAGTACTAAAAAAAGATGGTAAGGAAGGAGTAACATGCCATATCCATTTATGCAAAACAGATGTGTAGTTTACTGTTTTAATCATTTTGAAAAGCCAGTCAAATATATATCAACTATCAGATTTAATTGAAATTATACTTAGTACGCTGTTGTCACATCATTAATTTGTACTGCATGGAAATATGTACTGCATGGAAATATTGCTGCTTAAATTTAGGTAACTTGTTACTGGTAGTTGTGGTAATTAACAAAATGAATGCCTCTTGGACTGAATGATTCATTTGTTTTCATGGTTCTTTTTAATTTTTTGCTTGTTTAAAATGCACATTTGCGTTGAACTTTTCTGGCAAGTCTTTGCAAAATCTGTGATGACCGACCGAGGTTATTAAGTGTACCCGAGCTGAATGGACCAGAGAAGACTGTGGCAGCCTGCAAACATTGTACACCTAAGTGTACACATACTGTTGTGGATAATGTTTGGATACTTTGAAAAGCAAAAGGTAATTCAGTATGTTTTGAGGGGTTTTTTAAAAGTCATTTAAAACTATAATCTGCCAGTAATACTGCAAGGAAGTAGTTTTCTATGCCTGCTTTGTTCAGATATATATAGTCTTTTTTACCTATAACTTGATGTAGTTCTAAAACTTAAAAGCTGGTGTTCTAAAGGAATGTGGGAATGTTAAAATGACTGTAGTTATGCGAACATTTTAATGCTGTTTTCTGTACTGCTGTTTTTAAATTTATTTAAAAATTTTATGAACAATATTTTGGTTAATGCTTTTATGATGAATCATTAAAATTTGTTCTGTAATGCAAAAAAAAAAGAAAAATAGTTTTATTTGATCATTAGTTATTCATTCTTGATATTCTTTCTTTATGGAGATTTGAGTTTCAGGCTTACGTTCTTTTTCTTCTGTCTAAAGACCTTGTTAACATTTCTTGCAAGACAGCTCTACTGGCAACACATTTCTCAATTTATATTTGTTCAAAAGTGGGTTTTTCTCCTTTTCTTTTAAAGGATAATTTTACAGGGTCTGAAACTCAAAAGTAGCTGGGCATGGTGGCGCACACCTGTACTGCTAGTGCTTGGGAGGCTGAGGCAGGAGGCTTTGCTGTGCGTTTGAGGTCAGCCAGGGCTACATAAGCAAGTTCAAGGCCAGCCTGCACTACACAGCAAGACTTTGTCCCAACCACTAAAAACAAAACAAAACAAAACAAAAATCAAAAAACACACAAAAAAACAAAGCCCCTCAAAATCAAACCAACAAACAAAAAACCACGCCAAAGTTTGAAGTTACTTTTTTTTTGCCCTTTCCCTGAATGGAAGCTGCCGTCACGCTGGGAGTCTTAAAGTTACCTCAGGTTCCAAACTGCTCCTGCGAGGTCTCCTGCAGTTATGATGGTTTAGTCGGCCTGCCATCACTGTGACAAAATGCCTGAGGTAATCCATTTATAAGGAAAGAAGATTAATTTTGGCTCACAGATTCAGAGGTTTGAGTCCAGGGTCACCTGGCCTTGTTGTGTCACTGGGAGTCTGGGAGAAGACGCCTCCCAGCCTTTTACCTGCAATCTAAAGGGTAAATGAGTGTTGTTGAAGTACAAATACAAAATTAAAAGAAATACTACAGTGAAATTTTGAGGTCTCTTGCGACTGCATATGTCAGTACTCTGAAGATTCCAAACGTGCTGAATGTTAAGCCAGGCGACTTCTGATTTGGAGTCTCATCACTCTGCCCTCTTTTTCCTCATGGGTAGTATTTTATGACCTTAGAACTGTTCATGAATTCCTGTAATTCAATAGCTCAGATTAGCACGAGGCAGTAAAACTTGTTCTAAATGCTGCCTGCCTTGGTGTCGTGTTTCATCAGGCATATTTATTATTATAAAGTGACCAGTAAAGGGTGACACAGGTCTCCCTGCCAAAGGAGACTTATTTTGGGAGGGTAATCGCCCCTTGCACAAGGGAGGTTGGTGCAGTTGGCCGTTCACGGTTCCCGAGGAAGTATCCCCCTCTAGTGGCTGTCAGGGAGTATTTTAAGATGCCTTTCTCCTGCTAACCTCTGCCTCCTCCAAGATTTCCTTCCAGCTGGGGAAGGGCGGGTGCCTACTGTGATTTGGCTGAAAACCCTGGGCTGAGTTCATTTAGTTGCAGTAAACAGTCCCTCACCCAGTCGGGTGAGACCAGGGAAGGAGGTGAAAGGCAGGGAGCAGGGAGGGAAGGACAGCTGCAGAGCCTGCACTCTGGGCCTAAGGTCACAGCGGCAGTGCGGGGTCCCTGCTCTGGTCCTCCCTCGCCCTCTCAGGGCCTCTCTTCTCCTGGGGTCCCTGCTGTCTCTGACACCACCCTTGCTCTGTACCCTGCTCCTGTTGCCCACCTCCTCGTGCGCACTTCTTCTGTGATGTGGGCTGACTCCCAGCCCTCGGTGACCCTTCCCGCCTTTCTCCATTCTCCTCCTGGCATCCCAGACTGGCCCTCATTACCAGCTACTTCTGTTCTTGGCATGTCCTAGAAATCTCATAGATATTTGCCTCTCCCTCTTTTGGGTCCGGGTCCACACCAAAAGCCTCTGGCCAGCCATCAGTGGGCTGTTCAGGCGTCTGCTTCCTGCTGCAGCAGCTGCAAGGCTGTGGTGTTAAATAGAATGGCCTGGCGATGCCCCTGGCGGGCGCGGGGGCAGGCAGTGTCCTTTGGAAGGGGACTGGAATTGGCGCCATAGGGAAAGTTCAGGGATAGCTGCTAGGACTGAGAGCCCTTGCCCAGGAGCTGCGGGTGTGTGTGTGTGTGTGTGTGTGTGTACGCACATATACGTGCGGAACAGAATCTTCAGGACATCTCTTGGTGGGGTCCATCGTCTCTGTTTGTCCTCCTGTGTTTTCCAGTGTCACTGGGTTGCCCGTGTTGAGGGGGATGGAGAACGGCTTGGATACCCCAGAGAGGGGCACCCTTAGTCTGTAAGCAGCTTGATGAGGGACAGTGTCATGCTGGGCAGAGGCGACAGGCAAAGAGGAAGGTGTCCTGCTGCTGGTTGATACAACAGATTTGTTTGATTTTTGAAAAAAAGTGCCAGTTCCTGTAGACATTCTGCTGGTATCCTCTAGGAGATTGTTGTAGGGACTAGAAAAACTCACGACGACCGAGAAATGAAAGAATCCTTACAGCAGTGCAGCTGCTGGTGATGTCCATCACAGTCTGCCTTGTGTCTCTTGGTGTCCTGCGAGGGTCTCCCACGGCTACTGAATATGTTTATCCCCCCAAATGGAACACAAATGCAAATGTTTGAGGCTGTAAAAATCCTTGGGGGAGAGTGGGAGAAGGTTAACACTGACCACTTTGTATAAGCTTGGTACTCTGCTGATTTATATACCTGGTTCAATCTGTGTTATAACTAATGTTACTCAAAATTTATACCTAAAGAAACTGAACTCAGAGATCTGGCCAAGGCTGCTGATTTGGGCTGCACAAGGCTCTGTCATTTCTTATATGAAAAGTGGCCACGTTGATCAGAGAGGAACGGACCTGCCTCGTTCCCTGGCAGAGCTGAGCTTCAAATCCACGTTCAGTGATTCCGAAGCCTGTGTTCTTTTTGCCACAGGAATATCTTGGAGATGCTATAGGAATGAAAAGCAATTTATTTATTTGCCCACCTATGGAGAGGGTTCCTTTCATGTATTCTTCTGGAAACATGGAGTTCTGTTCAGCAAGGCAACAACCTCTTAGAGGGAAAAGCATGTGTCTGTCAGGTGGAATACCTGCTATTGTCCTAGGAGTTGGGGTTAAATAAGACACAAAGCTGTGCCGGGCTGGGTTATGGCCACCACACTGTCACATGATGAAGTCAATTTGAGAACTAGATTTAGTTCCCAAGTGAGAGGTTCTCTACCCACAGAAGCTTGCTTTTTATTGGTCTGGCCTGGGATTCAGCCTCTCAGACTTCAGAAGATTCCTCACAGGTACAGCTAAGGTTAAGAATCAACCCCCCAGGGCTGGGGATTTAGCTCAGAGGCAAGGTGCCTGCCTGGCAAGCTCAAGGTCCTGAATTAGATTTCCAGTACCAAAACAACAACAACATCACCCCACAAAAAGCCCCAAATAAACAGAAAAGTAACAACTTGCCTCTTTAGTCTCCATCTGTCTCCCGAAGAACCAACAGTCTAGCCCCCATCATTATGATGGAGAAAGGCGCTCTGAGACGTGTTGGTGCGGTTCCCTCAGCTCCTTACTGTGGCTGCTGAAGGCAGATTGGTCTTAGAGGAATCCTCCTTCAACGCCTTGAAGGGGCAGGGAGAAAGGCAGGCCAGAAAAGAGGGTAACAGGTGATCAGACTGCTGGAATGGGCCGTCCAGTCCAGGCAGGCCCCGGGGGAACGTTATTATTCCCTACAGTTGCTCACAACCACCACCTCATATTAAGTTGGTCCTTAGAGAGCACTATTACTATCGTGAGTTGAAACCAGATGCGACTTCTGCCGGGAAATTGCCTGCTCTTGTTATTCCTTAGGGTACAGGGCAAATTCATTGTAAGAAAAGCACCCACGAAGACGGTGGCCTACAGAACATCGGGAATATTCCTCTTCCTTTAATGTCTCTGGTGCAGGTGAGCTCCCCGAAACCACAGAGCCCCTCAGGACCCCAGCATCATCCCCTAGAGCACTGGAGCTGGGGCCTACAGCTGGGGCACAGGCTCCTCTAATTCCTTAAAGGCTCAGAGGGCCGTGTGTTCATGTTGGGTTGCAAGAAAAGAAACTTCCTAGAACTGTTCCAACCACAAAAGTCAACCCTCTGCAGGAGGGCACCTGGCGACTGATGACGACTGACCGAGTTACACTCTGCTGCTTGCCTGGCTCACCTGCAGAGCCCCCCCAACAACCCTTAAAAACTCCCCAAGCCAAATGGCAGCTGTCTTGGTCCACAAGGCAGGCCGCCCCCTGCCCAATAAAGCTTCTTTCTTGTGGCAGAATGTCTGGCCTGGCTTTGTGTGGGTTCCGCTCCATCACTGATGCTGAAACCCAGCAGGGATGCCAAAGTCAACAGGCCGGTCCCTCCCAACGCGGGGACTCGGTCCGCAGCTGACTCACCCTGCGTGGACCACGAGCCCGGAGCATTCCTTGCTGATGCCGACATCCAGACACTTCAGAATTACGAGTGAGCTCCATTTGTGCCTCCTCCACCTTGTCAGCTCTGGCCGTCTCGCTGTCCTTGGCCCACATTTCCTCCCAGGCACTCTGGGACTTCCCAGGCGCTTCCCCTTGTTCCAGTCCTTTCTGGAGTGGGGCACCGCGAGCTCTGCCGGGTGCTTCCCAAGCCTTCAGGCCCGATGACCCTGCCTTTTGCACTTTCACTCTCTCTGTTTCTTCCCACCAAGCCAACAGTCCTCTGAGGAGGGCTCCTGTGTGCCTGCGGGCTTCCTGCCCTCACCCAGCCGCTCCTCCCTCTACATTCATCCCCCTCCGAGGAGGTGGCCTGCTCAGACAGCCTGGGGGCCCGCGTCCCATTTGGGACCCTGTGCTCAACCCCTTCCGACCAGGGACACTGGTGTGGAGAGTCTGCGGTCTTATGTCCCTCTTGGACTTTCTATGGACGATTCTTGCCTTCAGCCTCTGTGCATCTCAGCACCTCTCCTCTCCCTCGTCCCCACTGTGAGGAACAATCAATCCTCTTCCCCTCGGCAGCACACCCAGGTCCCTTTCGGGATCTTCTACTGACAGTTCTTGCCCTGGGTGTTCTCTCAGGCTTGACGTCTCTCCTCTGCCTCAGGTTAGCCGTGGACAATGCTCCCCCTTCTTCCCTCTCTGCCTCG